AGGTGGTGAAATTCAGGAAAAAATGCAGTTTCCTGTCGTGGAGCAGCTCATAATCTGGGAAGCTGGGGACTGGGTGGGTGGTGGCAAACCATAGATGCTTATAACAGATGCCACTTTGGTATCCCTGCTTTAGTATTGCATTTTCCATTTCTGCCGGTGTTTTGAGTACATCAACTTCGGCTGTGACTTCAGTGGTTGAAGAGAATGCTCATCAGTTACTGCCAAATGACAGTTTTTGGTTTTAATAGGAGTGATCAATACCATCAGCTCCCCCTTTAAATGCTAATGAATGCTTTAACACAGCAGATGTAGACATACAGTACACTGCAGATTAAAATTAGGCACAAAATTAAATTGCTTACACATAGCAAGGAGCCAGTTTGGACATCTTGATAATCAGCCACAACCAGCTGACAGATCTTGAATTGTCCCTGCACCAACGTCAAGCCTCCCCCAGGCTCAGCCAGAGCAGGAATCATCTGGCTCAGGAATGTGCCTGGTACCTTTGGGTATGAGAAAGGAAAACTGCCAGGTCAGACTTTCAGTAAAGCTTTATGTACTTTTAGGAGCAGTCACAGCTGCACTGGGGAGGGCACTAGGATTAGAAACAGTTGCTAGTCATTAAAAAGAACTTTGGGCTTCTGGAAAGGAAAGCCTTATAGTGAGACTATAAATGTCCAAAAAGACAATGTCTATATGTGAATGTCTTGAACACACATAGTATTTCTATTCTCTTTTATTCCTGTGACAAGCATTTACTGAGAGCCTGTGTTTATAGTGCTATACTCTAGAGATTCAAAGTGGAAAATCATACAGTTCACTATGATACAAAGAGCTGTTTCTTGGAAAAAATAGTCTGACTTTTCCCTGGGGGACTTGACTTAGCCACAATTTGCTGTCAGTGATAAGCCCCAAATTTAATCAGTGCCTCTGAGTTCTCAGGGGCCAGCTCCCATTGGCAAAGCTCACAAAAGGCTGATGTATAAAGTCAGAATGGCAAGTATTTTAACACTAGAAATACAACTCTACAGTGGATTGGAGACTCTTGGTAAGGTCACTTAATGAGAAGCTTAGAGCAAGAATTTAGATGATTTATTGGTTTGCTAGGCTCATTAATTAATGTATTCATTCAGTAAATAGACTGAGTACCAACTATCGTGGGATACACTGGTCATCAAGATAGGCACGGTCCCTTGCCTTCAGAGATCTGATAGCCTAGTAGGACAACCAACTCTATAACCAAATTTGGGGACAATTATAACAATGGGGAATACATATGATTGAGTAACCAAAAGGTTCTCATGAGGGAAGGAAGGCCTTACCCAGGCCTGGGGATCTTGGAAGGTGTCCTGGAGGCAGTGATGTCTTAGCAGAGAGCTGAAGGATGACCTAGCCACACAGTGCCAAGGAAGCTGGATGGAGGGACTACCAGTTTTGAAGACCAGAAGGAACACGGCAGCAATTCAGTGTGGCTAGAGCATGGTGTTTGATTGCCGTGGGGAGAGGCAAATGGGGATACAGAAGAACGGGACCATATGACCGTCTCCACAGCAGGTTCATATTTCCCCAACTGAGTGGATTCTCATGTCTGTTTGGAAGGGGTTCTGCTGGACAGTATTGTCCTCCTTAAGGGGTCTCCGTGCATGACTGCACAGATTGTGCCCAGCATGAAGGCCTGGCGTGGATAGTACGGCTAACCTTTTACTTTGTGGGTCACCTCATCTTGGACTTCCAAGATTGACCACCCCTGGTTGTCTCCAAACCTGTCTCCAAACCTATACCCTGACCCTCCCTCCACCTCTAAAAGGTTCATGCTGTCTTTGGATTGCCTCGTACTTCCAGTCTGATTTGCAAACATGTTCTTCAGATCTGGGAGATATTGCAGCATTTGTGGCCATTCCACTGATGACATCTCAGAGGTTAGTCTTGCTTTCCTGTTGACACATTCTTGGGCATCCCTGCACTGCTCTCACAGAGGACCTTTGGGGAAGTGGGTTTGAAGGGTTGAGTAGTGGTGCTAGGGAGTGAGTGATGAAAGGCCTGCAAGAGGAGTACCGAATGGGGAAAATTGTTGGAAATGTGGAGGGAGAAGCAGGATGTCCCCTGGATCTTGAGGCCTGAGTGGGATTTCTCTAGTGGTAAGGGAAGGATCTGGACGCCTGGGGGACTGTTGAGAATATGGATCATTAGTTCTGGAGAGTTAATCTTGATTTTGGTTTTGCATGAATGAACTATGAGGGCATGAGTATTCTTCATTCTTTAACCCTCTTGATTTGGCCATGCATTATTTGGTAAGCTCATTCGTCAAAGGAAAAGGGCAATTGAGTAAAAAGTCACTGGTGCCGGCTCCGCAGAAGTCTGGACAAGTTTGACCGTGGATCTGGCATTTCTTCCACCTCTGGAATCTTAGAAACCAGTTTCAGTAATAGCAAATAGAGGTAAGCCCAGGGCTCATGCTCTGACTTCCCCAGGGCATCCTGGCCTACCTAGAGCCTCTCAGATCCGGTGGTGGCAAGAGATTTTATAAACCTCCTAAGTACAGTGTCTATAATTTAAAATTTCAGTAATGCTATGTCCTGAACAAGTTGGCACAACCAAATCGTGGCATCCTATAACTGAGCAGTTTCTGAGAGCCAAAATTTTGGAAGCATGCCGTATCTGTACCAGCTTGTTGAGGCAAATTGATAGATTATGGAGAATGTACTTATAAAGTAGCTGGTACTTCTCTAATGGAAAAATCTCCGTGAAGTCAGAATGCCCAGAGCTGTGTCCAGGATGTTCTGGCTCTGCTACTTTGTACTACTGGACATTTTTATTTCCCTGGGACATCTGACTCTATATGGATGAAATATTTTTTATCAAAACTATATTATTATTAAGATTTTTTTCAAGAAAGAATTGCATGAAGTGAATGTCATTGTCAATTTAATTTCCTGATTTTCTATCCAACATAATAAAATTGCCCCCCCTTTTTTTTTTTAATTTTTGAGAGAGAGAGAGAGAGAGAGAGAGAGAGAGAGAGAGAGAGACAGAGTGCAAGGAGGGGAGGGGCAGAGAGAGAGAGAGGGAGACACAAAATCTGGAATAGGCTCCAGGCTTTGAGCTGTCAGCGCAGAGCCTGATGCAGGGCTCGAACTCAGGAATAACGAGATCATTCCCGGACGCTTAACCGACTGACCCACCCAGGTGCCCTGCCTCTCATTTTTATATTAAATTTTTTATTGTATCAATTTTTTCCCCACGGGATCAGTTCTTTTCAATTTAAATTTTACATTGAAGGTTTTATATATCAAAAGTTGTTTTGTTGAAATTTTACCAGTTATCACTTGTGCCACTGTGGGTATTCTTTTGTGGCAATTGTTTCTTAATCTAATTTTCCCAGGTTAGCTTTTACCATTCTCAGTTTCACTGTGAATAGTTTTAAATACTGCAGTTTAATTGTTATTATTCTTATGAACTATATTCATTATTAATTGGTTGAAAACAATTGTTAGTTTATATTTATTTCTAAAGATAGTCCCTGATAAATAATCTCCAGTTTTCCTTTACAGATTTGGGATTATTTGATCATTCAGACTATTTCTATAGAATTGGTAATTCAGTGACTTTGCAGAGAGCAAAATATCTTGCTTTGTTTGGGCTGAGCCTAGAATAATGACTACCTGTATGGTAGCAACCGACATAGATTCAGCAGTTCCAGATCCTGTCAAAAGCCTCCTTAATGACCACTAAATCGCCACATTTAGAGATGCCCAACTCAAGATGTATTTTCTTAATTTGTTTCTACTGGAATTTTTTCTCTTAAAACATCCTTTTTTTTTTTTTTTTTTTTTTAATCCAGCCTCTTGTAAGTTCTATAATTTCTCATTGTTGGCAACTGATTTAGTTGGATGGAAAAAAAATTCTGTTAATCCTTGCTCTGTTCTTATTTCATCTTTCAACCTGGCAAGCAACTCTTGGTGAATAAGCATCATTAGAAAAAAAAAAAAAAAGAAAGAACATCCAACTCTTATTATTTCTTTACAACCAAGAATCAGATTCTAGATATTCTTGTTTTCGTTTTGACTGGGAGCATTGATGCTAACAAGTATTTTTTCCAAGAGGTATTACAAAGTGGTCAGTTTTGTGTGCTCTTGGAATAACCAATTTGCAATCGGCTACTACACTAAATAGGGCTGAGGTCATTAAGTCATTTCACTACCAGCCTGGATTCTCTAACCCATAGCCCAGGAAAGCAAGAAGTAGAGAAAATAGACTGTAACAAGCAATCATTTGTGTAACACTTTTTAAACTAGAGTCTTAAATAATTCTTCAAAATGCCCATTTTGGTTAGTAATTAAAGCCATACTTTGTGTTCCTTTCAGACTGACTTAGTTAAGACTCTGTTCTGTGTTTAGCCACTTACCCAAAAATTCTCATCAGAGAAATTTATTGCTTATTTGGAAGCAGCATGCCATTAAGGTAGCATACTTTCTATTAGTCCATTTTTCTTTAAATTTAAACTCAAAGGGCATGGGGAAAATAATTGAAAACAGACTGTAGTAGCTATCAGATTTGTGAGAAAAGATCACAGTGGAGCTTACAACCTTAGAGATGTTGGTTATCCATGATGGAAAAGAACACCTTGCTCTCTGATTTTACCATTCTCCATTGCTTTTGCTTATAAATGCAGGTGGCAAACAATACAACTTACAAAATTGAATTGTTGCATCAACGTTTAGGTCACAGCTTCCCTTGTAAATAAAGGTCATTTCCTATAACCTTGACTTTATTGCCTCCCAAAAATGGTTTCCTCCACCAGGCCCCAGGCACTGTGTTAGAGCAGATCCGCTTCTCTGGGAATATAAGCGTGTACTTGATGACTGGTTTCTATTAAGAGAGAACTCAACCCCATAGAATTACCAGTGTGGCATTTGAATTTCTACAGAGCACTGAGAATCCTGTGCAGGCAAAGGACACTGGATATTCAGGGTTAGTGAATGTTGAACAGAATCTCAGAATGTATTGGAATGTAACATTTATTTATTTGACATAAAAGTTTATTTCCTCCTGACTTTCTGAATTGTAAACAATGAAGAATTTCCTAAGTTGGATCTCACGATTCCTGTCCTAAACGGCAGGCAGTTTCCTCCCACCTGTACCGGTTACCTCTTTTCCCCCAGCTGCTTAGAGCTTTCTTGCTGCAAGGATGGTATTTACTGGCTTGTGTTAACAAAGATGTTGGTAATTTTAAATTTCTTTGGCTTGTGGCTTGTGACGTTATTATCCCACTCTGTGTCTGTTTTCTTTCAGATTTTAGATTTCTGACATTCCAGGGGGTCTTTATGGACTTTTTTTTTCCCTCTTTGCTTCTCCTTTAGTAAAATGTAGAAAATAATATTCAAAAGCAGTCCCTGGGAGCTTTGGAAAACCAGTAACCACAAATCTCCTAGGCAGTTTAGATCTTTGGTTTCAGATGAGTCTTAATGAAGGAGATATGCATCATAATCAAGATTAAGTTCAATAACCTCTTTTACTGTCTAAAAATGACAAGCCAAATTACTTCAGCTTTGACCAGGATAAGAATCCAAATACCTTACTAAAATAAATACGAACCAGCAGTGTCAGGATGCGGGTAAAGCAAGTGAGGCCCTTGCCTAGGGCACAAAATTTAAGGAGGCCTCAAGAAAAACAACCAAAAACTCCCAGCGTCTCAGTAATCAAGATAAATGATATTTTAATGCAGTATTTTTTAAATTAATGCAAAAATTCATGATGAACAAAATATCAAAGTTTTAAAATAGGATCTACAGTAACAGTGCCTTACCAAGCCATACCGGGGTCTAAGACAAGAGGGAAAATCAGTAATACTGATCCTGTATTTATGTAGAATTTTGATTTGTTTATCACAGAATTTTTGCATTAATTTTCACTTATTTAAATATTGCATTAGAATGTTATGTATCTTGATTACCGAGCTTTCTGGTACCCCCTTAACTTTTGCACCCAAGACAAGTGCCCCACTGAACCTCACCCTAGCCCAGGCCCTGCTAACCAGAATGGCGGTGGTTAGGGAAATGAGGTGGCATATCCTCTCCTGTCAAAATGTTAATTTGGGGTGTGGGGATGCAGGTATGTATAGTTATGTTGAAGTCTAGTTATCATCCTTGGCAGCCAACATCCATCATTTTAGCTGTGGTTTGGCTGTAGTCTCAATTAGAAGGCATTTCCTAAATCCAAAATTGGAAAAGTTGTCTTTTTGTTAATTCCATCTGAAGGTATTATCAAAATCCATTACATCTTAAAAAAGAAAAAAAGAAAAGGAAAAAAAAAAAACCTGCTTAAGAAAACTTCTCTAGTTCAGTTCATCAAAAGTTTCTCCTTCCCCGGTAGTTTCCTCTGGCTCTTTCCCTGTTAGTCTTGGCAGGAGAGGGCCTGTGAGGTTTCTTTCGGTATTCCACTTTTGTCCATCCTCCTTCGCTGACTCTGCTCTCCTCTTCACTGGCTCTTGAGTCTGTCTCTGTGTGCAGAGGCATCCCCGGTATGGTCCTGGACCGGTGGCAGTCATTTGGACTTCTCTTAAAGTCAGGCGACTGGTGAGTATTGAGTGCTGACTGAGAAACCCCGTAGAATTTTCCAGAATATCTTTCTCTTGAAGGAGTGGAATGCTGACTTTTCCCACTGTACCTTCCCCTAGGAGAAGAATTGAGTGATGCACTACCACGATCATATTTGTTTTTGCTTCTCTCTGAGTACCGACCCCTCTCTAAAGAGTTGTCACTTGGAAGACTGGAAAAGCCACTGTCCCTGGAGTTGAGATGCAGAGAAGTTAAGTTTTTGGTCAGTCCATACTGAGTAGGAGAGGAGCTTCTGGATTGGTTTATAGGTGTAATCTGTTGATACTTAATGGGCACCTGGGTCCGCCTTACGGCAGCAGCATAGGAATCCTGGTCATTGAAATATGGGAAGAACTGTGACCCCAGAATAGGATTGCTCTGAGAACGTTGTAAAGAAGTATCGGATGCAATCTGCCGCATCCTCAGAGTATCCAGCCACTGGCGATCAGCACCTGCAGAGGAAATGGAAATGAGCATCTTTTCAGCCACTGTAAAGCTGCAGGTCTGATTCATAAGACTGCCTTGAGATCATTCAAGCCTGTTTGGATGCTTCAATCTTTACCATTCAGAGAAGTTCTAGGCTAGGTATAAGGACATTTCCTTTATTATTAGAAACACTTTAAAAAATAAGGGTGATTGCACTTACTGAGTATATGTTATATGCTTGGCATTGTTCCATAGGCTTTAATTACATGACCTTATTTAATCCTCTCAATAATCTTCTCAGGTAAGTACTAATAATCTTATTCTGTAAACAAGGAGACTGCAGCTTGGGAGGCTAGGTAACTTGCCCAAGGTCACTCAGCTAATCCAGGTCTTTCTGCATCTAAAACCCATCTTTTTCCCACTTAGCCATGTTGTCACTTCTAGAGATTGCTCTTGGTGTGTTTTGGATGGTAAGGGCATGTTCAGTAAATGAAAGGCTTTTTGCCACCAGGCACTTTTAAATCCTCAAGAACCCTCAGTGCAGATAAAAGAAATCGGGTTCCAGCCGGTTGAGACAGCTAGGGATTGCTTGGAAGAAAGACTGTTCACATCTCCAGAGGAGAGATTCTGAGGCCCAGGAATAAGAAATGTTTTTTTTGTGTTTTTGTTTTTGTTTTTAATCCATGAAAAATGAAGCTTCACAGCAAACAGGAAGAGAAGTTAAGGTAAAAGAAAATGGTGAATTAACAGGAACCATTTGGTAAGCTCTATTTCAGTGAATAAGTAAGTGCCTCCCTCCTTGGGTCTTTTCTGGCCCGGGCCCCCGGCCCCCCAGGGCCTGAACCATATTGCCCACATTCTTGAGTTCCCTGTAGTCCTCCCTGGGCTGTTCTTGCCATGAGTTCTGGAGAGGAATAGAAGCCCGCTCCCTCCTGACTCCCAGCAAGCAGCCTCCCTCACTGCCCTGCACAGGTTGACCTGCTGTGTCCAGACACTCCTCACAGCTTCACGCAACCGCAGTGCCTTCTTGCCTTCCCCTTGATGTCTCTGAAATTTTAGCTTCTGACAGAGCCCTCATTTTGTCCTGCATCCAACCACCTGCTGGAGCCAGGCACAGTGGGGGGCGCTGACCACATTCTGGCTCTAGTGGCAGACTTTGATTGGCCTGAGCCAGATGCAGTGATATCATGTTTAGGACTGGACAAGTTGCTCAGTTCTGGCCGAGGCAACTTGAGAGGTGGTCTGCTGGCGGCATGTAGGCAGGTCTTTCTCACCCCTGGACAGGAGAGCAGGGAAGGCATCGGCCTTTTGTGGCCTCTGCACGTTGCCGTATCTTTGTGTGGTGACAGTAAATGTGGCAGAGCTAGGCGGTGGGCAAAGGCACATACTAAGATGGCAGAGCGGAAGGAAGGAGAGGTTTGTTCCTGGTCCTCAACATGAGTGAGCCAGCTTCTCTCACTGGACCTGAGCCCAGCTGCCTTCTGGACTTCTTCAGTCCAGAAGATAACTATTTTATTACAGCCGAAACCCGTGTTTCAGAGCTTTTGCATGCCAAGGTTGCTGGTCCCTCTTCCCAGTTTTTGATTCATTAGGTCTGGGGTTGGGCTTGAGAATTTGCATTTCTAACAAGTTCCCATTGATCCTGAGGCTACTGTTCCTGGGACTGCACTTTGGTCCATTTGGGAGGAAGACAGTTGAAGTTGGATTTTCTGTTACTTGCAGCTAAAAAAATATATCCTAACTGGTCCAGGTGGTGTCCTCTGAGTTTTCACAGCAAAAGGGAAAAAGAAATACAAGGAAGAAGGAAGGGGGAGGCAAACTAGCTAAAACTGAAGTGAGCCATGGGGTGGGGGTGGGGGTGGTGGGGCTCTCCTTTTATCCCACAATCTCTCCAGTTAATAATAGAGGGAAAGGTTTATCCAAAGCCATTCTACTGGGAGATTGAAGGGTATTGATGTTTCCTAACTCTCTTAGAGAAATAATTTGCTTTCTCCCAAAAGATTTAGATATCAGAGAGGTACAGGACACTTGTCAGACATCTGCTTATTGTCCTCTTTGGGGAATGTCTCTCCCCTGTTTCCACCCATATGGCTACAGTTCACTGCACAGGATGTCCTCACCACCTGCGTCCCCCACTGGGCTATGCTACCCACCACCACCTCCTCCTGCTGACAGAGTTAATTGGTCCAGAAGAGAATGCTTGGAAAAAACACAACAGTCTTCCTCCAGGAAATCTAGAATTGGGACTGTTGAAGTATTTGGTGATTCTCAAAGCGGTGAGATTTGAACCATGTAAAACTTGGAGGCAATTGGCAGCTATTCTGAGTCCTGTGGCTGGGGAAACAGAAAACCAGCTTTTAGTAAAAGGGAAAAATATAGCAGAAGTGGAGAGAGAAGACACCCACAGATTGCACAGGAGTGTTGTAGGGATCAAATAGAATCGTAGCAATGAAAGCCCTTATAGAAGTAAAATGTGGCCAGTAAATATTAATTATTTGGGAGGGGAAAATTATTATAGTAAGAAGTCCTTTTAAAGGTGATAGTAGGCATGCAAGAAGAGATTGTTGGATTACCAAATAAAAGAACTTAGAAATGCCATGCTCCAGGTAGGGGCCACTAGTGAGAATCAACACCCATTACCTGGGTTAGTGGTGTGTAGAAACAGCTTGCCCTAAGAGAGGTTTGAAAATATGTGTGTAGCCGAGAAGGCTTGGTGAAAACTCCAGTTCAGTCATGGTGGCCAGAATGTCTTGTCATGATTCATTGTGAAAGAAAATAACCAAACCAACTGCCCCCGCGGCCCCGCCACCCCAGCTGGCCGACGTATGGAAAGATCTGGTCCAGTTGGTAAGCTAGTCCTGAGAGTAGAGGACGGTTAGCTAGGTTCTCATAACTCAGTGACAGCAGTCATCGGGGTACTTTATTTCCATGCCATCAAAGAACCTTCTGATATGGCTTTTCAGGTATATTTTCTTACCAGGAAAAATAATGCACTGATCAGGAAACATGTATTTCTGGTTCGCCGGGCAGGTATATTTCTCCTGGTAAAAAGTGAATTGCATGGGGGTTTATGCACCCAACTTCCATGCATCTGTTAGCTTGTTGCAGTCCCCCAGAGCCTAACTCTGGGTTGTATTAGAATTTCTAGACATCTGTGAAGGTGAAGGTCAGGACCTCTTCCCTGAATCTACCAAATAATGACCAATTTAACAGCAAGGCAGCCAGGCTTCCCCTGTGTAATTTCTAAATTGTTTCAGTGTAGCATCTGTAATTACTGTCACTACTGTCCGTCATATGCATTTCATGTTTTCTCTTTCTCTGTCCTCCCTTACCTTTATTATTCCCCTCTCTTCCTCCCTTCCTCCTACCCTTCCCCTATCATTCTTATGCTTTGATGTATCGGTGGTGTTCAGGACGCAAGAAATTGCCCCAGTAATTGCATTGGTTTCATAGGAATGTTTGCGGGACACGGAAGATTAATATCTGTCTATGATTTGGGAAGCGAAATATGTCAGTGTATAAATAGACATATACTTATTTACCAGTATAACATAATTATTAATTTTTGTCTTTATCATAGTTATCCAACTACTGAAATTTATTGTAATATGCTAATATTTATCAGCCCATAAACACTACTGTTCATATAGTATGTGTATAAGACCAATATTCTAAAAATAGAAGAAGGAAGTCTTATATTGTCTGTTACCAGACTGGCACTTACCCCTGGTATGAGAAATTGATATTTAAGGTTTTGGAATCTAGTCTAGCACACATCTCTAACTTACTTGAGTCAGACCTGCTTCTAGAGCTGCCCTCTAAGTTGGGGAGTAGTGTCTGAATGGCAAGCTGAACGGCTTTCACTTCATCCTGAGGTTTCATTCTACTCCACTGAATTGAGTGGACATGTTTAGTGCTCTTTGGAGCTCTAACATCACTCTGTAAAAAAAAAAAAAAAGAGAGAGAAACAACGACATGCTGGTGCTTATAAAACAGGAAGAAAAGAACTCAAGTTATTATGTCACTCCCATTTAACTCCTGAGAACACTATTATCATAATGCATTAGGTGAAATATCAGCCTGCCTAAATATGGTGATCTGATTAAAAGGAAAGTGTTTTGTTTGCTTTTAATTTATTTTGAGAGAGCACACGTGTGCATGCACAAGAGCAGGGGACAGGCAGAGAGAGAGGAGAGAGGGAATCTCAAGTAGGCTCCATTGTCTCAGCCCAGAGCCCAATGTGGGGCTTGATCCTACAACCCAGAGATCATAACCTGAACCGAAATCAAGAGTCAGATGCTTAACTGAGCCAACCCAGGCGCTCCTAAAAGGAAAGTTCTGACCACTTTATACCTTAGTGGATTATAGTAGTTCAAAATGTGGTTGTCATCTCCCAGAATTTATTCTATCTGGCGAATCTCAACTTACCTTTTTGCTTACTAAGGACTGAAAAACAATTTCTTCTGTTTAGAGTACTTGAAGACAGATTTGAATACCTAAAAATCTGACCCCTATTTTGCCCACGACTGCCTTTGATCAGCAGGGTAACTGAGTGGGTGTGGGCAGTCTGGTGGATAATTATCCCCATGGAGGGTGCAGGGTAACAGAAAAGTGAGACTGGGTAGGGAGGTAAAAATAAGGACTAGAAAAAGGAGAAGATACCAGATCAAGACACACCACCTTCTCATCCTGAAACCCTTCATGACCGGGTGTCACAAATCAGGCTCAGGAGCCTCTCAGACTTCGATATGGTTATGAAAATATGTTTAAAAAACCCTGCAGTGACAATTACAGACACAAGTAGCACATCATCACAGAGTATAAGGAGAAGGAGGAAGAGGAAGGAGAGAGGAGAAGAAAAGTTACTAAAAAGAAGGCTCTCCTGCATAGTGGGGGCTGGTCAACAGGTTCCACAACAGTCTAGATTCCATGTTTCTCAGGACCAATCAACTGTTCTTATTTAGGTTTTATGTCCTACCAGCAGCACTTTGACAGTTAATGCTATTTCTCAGGCACCTCATCCCTGACAAGCTGTGCTCCCTGGCTGGTGAGGATAAGGAACTATTGTAATACTCATTGGCTTGCGGCATCAGATCACCCTGGATAAGTGGACTAGCCAGGGTATGGATTTCCAATGCTGAATCAGAGCCAATCTGGCGGCTCAGAAGACCATCACAATGCAGCAGTGCATGGAGTCCATTTACAGGCTGACTTCCCTCATCTTACTGCTGGTAAGGGAACAGGTAGGACAGCTGAGGAATAGTGGAAACTGTTTATAGTCTGAGAGCCTGGGTGTGACTCCACCGACCACCCCAGACCTCGGGACCTCGTTCTATCTCTCTGAGCCTGTTTTCCCTATGAAAGTTAATGCTGCCTATCTCTCAGTATTTATACAACGTTAATGGGATAAAACAGGTGTAAACTCCTGTTATAGTGCCTGGGTCTTGGTGAATCCTTACCAAATGTTTCCTGAATGAATAATAAAATGAATGAATGAAATGCATATCCTTTTGATGGCAGATGCATATTAATATAATATCTCCATGGGTCATGAGACTCTGGGGTCTACTTCTTCCCCTCCCCCCTGTTCCTGCAGGGTTTCTCTACCTTGTAAAGCATTATGTTCCACCAGCCATGTGGATATTGCTGATTTTTTTTAAAAAAGACTTAAATGCTTATTAATTTTTGACCAAGAGACAGAGTGTGAGTGGGGTTAGGGCAGAGAGAGAGGGAGACACAGAATCCAAAGCAGCTCCAGGCTCTGAGACATCATCACAGAGCCTGATGCAGGCTTGAACCTACAGAGCGTGAGATCATGACCTGAGCCAAAGTTGGCCGCTTAACCGACTAAGCTACCCAGGCACCCGAAGATATTGCTGATTTTAAAAACATAATTTGATTATTTTAAGCAATAGACTGCTTAAAACACCCCATTGGCTTCCAATTGTGTTTATAGTAAATCCAAACTCCTCACTGTGGCCCCACGAACCTCTGTGATCCAGCCTGCCCCTTTCGGGAGCTTTGTCATTGTCCTCTCTGCCTCAGGAGCTTGGCCTTGACTCTCCTGTGCTCTTTCTTGCTGCCTCCTCCTCAGAGGAGAGGCCTTCCCTAACTAACCACCCAGTCTCATGGCCCAAGTCTCACTATTTTCTGGTTACCACTTATCACTCTCTGCTTATTGCTTACCTATTTATTATCGATCTCCTCTCATTGGAACCGCAAGAGAGAGTATAGATTTAGTCTGCCCTAATCATAGAAGAGTAACTGCCAGGTATTTGCTAAATATGTGAATTTTAATCTTAGTAGCATATTTTTTAAAGTGTCAGTTTTTCTATTTATCCATATATAAAATATATGTAATCTGTTTTTGAGAATAGACCTCTCTCCCCACCAGGTGACAGTAGAAGTTGTTCTCTGTCCTTGTGAAGAATCGCTGATCTACCCCTAAACTCTAAGCACTAAGAAGGCAGAGCTTTGGTTTGGTCACTGTTTGGTATAACCCCAGTACCTAACATGTTACACAGCATGTAGATGTTCAATCATTAGCTGATGAATAGATGTATTACTGTCTCAATCTTTACCTAGGCAAGAATATCCTGTTCTCTTTCCTTACCAACATTTTGTTAGAGTAATTATGTTAATCTTCCCATATTCATGTTGGTTAAATAATTTCTCTTCCAATTTTAAGCACTGTTGAGGGAGCTAATAAATTCCTACTAAGAAACTTATGGTAAAGCCACCAGCACCCCACCCTTGCCCAACCCCAAGCTTACCTCATATGTGACAGTGCATTCTACAGTCTGATTTTCCATTATTCCTACATTCCACTTCTCCATTACAAAGGGGGGCTGAAAAACAAAAGTTAGGATGGTCTAGTGCCTGCCCTACTATGGCATGGATCTTTGAGGCCAGCTGTGCCATATGCAATTGGCAAATAGGGTATAATGTCAGATTATCATGAAAGTCATGGTGTTGGTTCACGTGTGATTACTCACAACGTGCTAATGTCTTGGACGTTAGTTTTCATAAGACCTCTTTTTCTGTAATTGTAAACATCTAGTCTTAGTCCCACGATCTTCTCTTTTCTGATATACTACTCAACCCTATCATTAGGTCATTCATTATTCATGCTAATATTTTGAAGCCTCAGTAGAAAGCTTTCTGATAATTAAGAGAAAGACTTAACGATACAGACTCAGAAGTGCCTTCTTTGAATGCAAGCAATGGCTGGGTTAGTAGTTTCAACAACTACTCTGCTTTTCACTGTATCAGGCTATCCAGCAAGGCTGTGCATGCAAAGGCTGCTTTGTGGCAACATTTCCCCACAGTATTAAATGAAAGGATTAATGAAGAAGCCTATGCTTTTCACAAGGAGACTATGTCACCCCAAAACATAGCACTTTGGCAGGTGTATTGTATTTTTAGCTGAAGACCATCAAAACCCAGAAGACTCAAGAAAAACTTTTACCTCTCCCATAACTGCCTGAAAGAATTTAGATAGGGCACCTGGCCCAGAAAGAGAGCTTTTATCAGAGATACTTTTTTTTTTTTTTTTTAATCTGAAAGACCTATCTGCATGGCAGGGCAAGCTTCTAACTACCAAACATCTGCTCTTGTTATCTTCCTGTGAATTGCCTTCCCCTCTTTGAAGCCCCAGGCCCCTGGCTCATTCCTTAGCTGAGGACGGCATATATTAGCCTCAGCTTCCTGACTTGCCCGTAAGTCTCACATCTTTGGGGCTCCTGTATGTACAAAATTAAATTCTTCTCCTGTTAATCTGTCTTATGTTAATTTAATTATTAGACCAGCCCAAGAACTTAGAAGGGCAGAAGGAAACTTTTTCACCCTGACACCTTGGATCCCATTTTAATTTTGATGAAAATGGTTTTTATTATAAGTGAATCTCCACTCTTTTAACCACCCTCCACCCCTTCATTCTATACTTAAGGCTACAAATGACTGGCCTTGAGATGGGTACAAAGCACATGTGGTAGAGATTTAACTGGGTTCTTTTTTTTTCCTTTTCTCTTTTTTTAATTAGTATTGTTATGATCCTGTTGATGTTAAAAGTTCTACAGATTTTGAATGGTCTCCCCCAATCCTGTTTTTCCTATAGCCCCCAGTTAATGTTGGTGTGTGATTTTGCACAAGATGTGGTTCTTTGGGAGTGCATATGTGGCATTATACCAGAAACACCTGTATTTGGCTTTAGAGCTGTACCCTGTCATTTTTGCTGTGAGTGGCTTCCTTCTGTTAGCAGGCAAGGACTTGGATCTTGCTTCTAAATGGCATAGGTTGGGGGGAAGGAGCAAGGATCTGTCCAGCCTTTAAGACATCAAAACATCATGTCCCAACAAAATAAAGGAAAGTTAAAACCAGATCATAACCTTTACAGATAAATAACACCGTTGAAATGACTCCCAGTTACTCAGAAGATTCCAACAATGAATATCACATCAATCGACTTGATGAATACACTTGTAAATTAAAAGGACTTGGATGTTTAGCAATCTTATGCCTGGGAAGGGAACACATTTGCAAGTCTAATGCTGTGGCTTTGAAGACTCTTCACTTCCCCACTTGTGTTTGTACCCAGGTTCTTCTCTGCTACCCACCCCACTTTCTTCACTGTAACCAAATACACAGTTCATCACGTACTAAAGAGTGGCTTATGTGAAGTTTCAAGTGATGGTCTGATGGATAGCATGGTTATTCACCCAAGTTGTTGACTTTCTCCTGTTGAAGTCTCAAATGTATTTTTTCAGATTTATTGGGACAGAACTGAATTTTTTTCCATTTTGAGGAGAAGCTAAGCATTTCTCTCGATCTGTCTTTTGTGTTGTAAAGGGCATGCTTCTACCACTGACCCTGAAGTAGTGAGGCGTTCTCTGGCCGGAGGTGTGAACTCTAGGAAGCTATGAAGACATCAACAGGTGCCTCCTGAATAACCTCGCCTCAGTTCTCCAAGAAAGCCTTCCTCCGCACAAGTTTTTCAAAGTTTAAAAAATGACCTCAAATTTGAGGTAAATATTTTCACCATTGGCATTTTCTTTCCTTTAACAAATGACAGAGTAAGCATAAAGAAATAGAGAAGAAAATAAAAAAAAATTTAAACGACACTTTCTTGTAGTACTTTTTAGTTCACACAGCCTAAGTGGAATTTTAACAAAAAACTATTATGATCTCAATCGGCTAAATAAAATGTGCCTTTCAACAGGCAGCTTGAGGCTGAGCTGACGTGAACATCGACAAGCACAAAAGCACACTGCTGGGGGATTTTAATGTCTTTGTTTGATATCTGTGAATTCAAAAAAGCTTTTAAGCCGTAAATAGAACCCTACCTTTGTCATCTTTAAAATCTCTGCATCAGGTAGGTTAGTGTTGAATGTCACATCTTTGATGTAGGTTATTGCAATTTCATCCCCATCCATCTCCATATACATTTTCCACTTACAATCCTAGAATTAAAAGCAAAATTATAGAATTTCAGAGAGTGAAACAATTTTTCTAGTCCCAATGTTTTATAACACATGAAGTTTCCTAAATGAAATATTGAGGTAATTTTTTTTTCCTTTTTTGAAAAAAGGACATGAAATTAGATCTCTTTATATATTTAAACAACCCCCAGTTAGGGCAGTCTTGAGACATAATTTATCAGTGTAAATGTTCTATTGTTATAGGAGTTGCAAACTCAAAATCCTAAAGGGACCAGGCATTTAATAATGAAAATGAGTAAAGCCAGGCAGTTTCATTATAGAGCCCTAAATTGTCATCTTTCAAAATAGACCCACTTAATTTACATATTAAACATTGTAGGAATATTTTTTTATTCGTACAAAGAAATGTGGACTTCCCATTTTGAAATACAAGGCCCTTTTGATTTAACTTTCACGTTGCCAGTGTTGATAATAATATGGGCTCAAGAAATAGCTCACTTTCCTCTTAACAGGAGGGAACCCTGCAAATGTGATGTATGGCAGCTGATAACTGGCTCATGTGTTGGGGAGTTACGGGAGGGTTAGGACTCTGGGGGTCTAAAGGGCAGCTGCCCTAAAGGGACAGCCATCACTCAGCTTCTGTTGCTTGTCCCCATGTGGGAATATGACCTCAGTCTTGCTAGGTCCTTTAATGTTTCCCAAAAAGCTGGATATCTGGATTCTTATGTGAAACCTCTCGATTTTTAAAAATGATGTCACGTTAATTAAATTTTCAGTAAAACCACCATGTAATGAAAAAGGGCTCTATATCATTAGTCACCAGGGATGTAAATTAAAATGTCCCCACAATGAGCTACCACTATATGCCCACCAAATGGCTAAGATGGATAACATCCAATGTTGGCCAGGATTTTGAGCTACTGGATTGCTGGTGGAAGTGTAAATGGTACAATCGCTCTGGGGAAGGCTTTGGCAATTTATTATAAACATATCCATACGTATAAACATACATCTATTTGATGACTCAGAAATTCAACTCCTAGGTATTTTCCCGAGAGGAATGAAAAAAGACTTGTACAGTGTTGCTCTGAGTAGCTTTATCATAATAGCCAAAAAACAAAAAAAAACCAAAAACCCAAAAAACAAAACTAAAAGCTCCCTAGAAACAGGCCAAGTGTTCATTAGGAGAACGAGTTAAGTGTCATATATTCGCAGAATGGAATGTTACTCAGCAACACAAAAGGAGCAGATCATTGACACATGCAACAAGATGGATAAAATCTCAGAACCATTACAGTGAGTGAAAGAAGTCTTATACAAAAAAAAGAGAACATACTAAGGATTCCGTTTATGTGACATTCTAGAACAGATAAAACCAATCTGCAGTGGAAAAATTTCAGAAAAGGTTGGTTCTGCAGATGGGGATTGACTGGTAAGGGGCATGGTGAGACTTTATGGGGGGCTAATACTCTGTTCACAGGGGTTTGAGTCATGTAGGCATATGCATTTGTCAAAATTCAGCGAATGTATACTTAAGATGTGTGCATTTCTTCTTGAACTCTAGCGTACTGAGATATTTAAGAGGAAGTGTATTGGTGTCTGCAAATGACTTTGACTTGCATCAAAAAAATGAAGATTGGTATATAGCTAGAGTGATAGATGGACATCTATGTGATAAGGCAAGTAGAATGAAATGCTAATGGTTGCATTTAGCGGGTAGGGGAGGATTCATTATAAATACGTTTTTTAACTTGGCTGTATGAATAATAATAAAAATGTTGGCAGATAAACACTGTGTGTGCAATGAAAAGGAGAAATACGCCATGTCTTTGCACCAGATTTGACCCCTGAACCATAAATTCACCTTCTCTTTTACGTTACTTGAAGAATGAGGGATTCTGAGAGGTTAAGGATAATGTAGTGAGCACCTTACATGCTGAAACTAGAAAATGCTCTCATAGGAGTAGACCTGGAATGTCTCCTGAGCAAGCTCAGACAAAATTATTATGGAAAAGCACTAACAAAGAGGTTGTTGAAAACCTGTTGGCTTCAGCAGAAAGCTGGGGGAGCCCTTTGTTTTAGGAAAACTTCTAGATAAATTGCACAACCAAGCAGGGCACGTGCCTGAGGGGAGTGACCCTCTTTGCCCAACCACATTCACAAGATGGAGAGCCAATTAGTGAAGGAAAAGTCTATTCAATAATGTGAAAACCCAGTTTTCGGTTAACAGAAGTCAGATCAGTCACTCAGAATGGACAGATCTCTCAGTATTGCTCTGTTTTGGGGCTGCTCCCTGGGCAGCGGGAGCCCTGAGGTAACAGGGCAGCATAATGACTATTTGAAGTCATGACTGCACTTCTCTGACATGGCAAGAGCCTCCTCAAGCAGTGGCTGGAATAAAAAGCCTTAGGAAAGATGAGGTGACTTAGTTCTGTTTCTTTTGCCTGTCCAGTTTTGGAACGAAGTTAGCCAAATACAAGTGAAAGACCTCAGGCTGTGTGTAAATGCCCGAGGCCCTCGGCTCTCCCACCTCACAGCCTGAGAACTCTCCTTGACCTCAGGCCTGCCATAGACCGGCCTGTGTACGCGCTCAGAGGAGCTCTCTGTTGAGAAGGGGTTGCTGACAGGTGGGAACTCACATTGCTGGAGTGCTTAATCTGCTCCAGGCATGCTGCTGGGTACTTTGTGCTATTTTTGTTTGAGATCCACAGTAACCCTGCAAGTTAGGTTTATTTTCCCATTAGGTGAGAAAAATGAGGCTCAGGTAAATAAAGGAATTTTCCTAGGGCCTCCTGGTCATTAAGTGGTAGAGGTGGGATTATAATAGCACAAGGCTGCCCGGTTCCAGAGTTGGAGAAGCTGCCGATAGGGAAGGGCAATTGGGAGAGGTGGCAGAATGTACTCCCTGGGCGGTTGTCAGAGCTCCACAATGGGCCCAGCTACTGACAACAGGCAAGTGGGGGAACGACCAGGGAAGATTTTGCTAATACAACTGAAAAAGCAAGTGGCCGCAGGTCCTCTCCTGCAGCAACTGCTTCCCTGTTCCCCAGAATCCAACTTGGAAAAACAAGGGTCCCCATAATAGGGTTATAGACCTTTTTACTTTTCAAATTCTTTCTCTTATCTGAAAGAAAGGCTTTTGCCTGAACCATAAAAGATAGCGACAGAAGCAATAAAACTATACTCAAAGGCACTGTAAGACAAGGGGGGCATTATCCATGTCATTAAATTACAAACCTGGGTGGGAAAGAAAATATGCAGTGTTCACTTCAATTATTAACTTAATCTGTCAGTGCCCTGACATAATGCTAGGTTTTTTTTGGGGGGGGGGGGGGCATCTGTGATTTCACTGTTGCCTAGTTAAGAAAAGTAACCCTCAAATCAAGTCATGGGATTCTTTAAATTCTGCTCAATTTCCTATTACCCGCAGGTGTTCTCTGCATTTTTGCTACACAGCGAGTCATTAAGTTGTCCATGAATTGCATTGCTCACAACTACCAGGATTTAAACAAAGTATTGAATTCTACAGGACCCAACAGAGACAGGATGCCATGTGAGTTCTTGACCAATCGATCACTGAAAAGGTTTTCATAGCAGTAACATGAATTAAATCATCAAGAACATCACTAAAAGTAACAACATATTTTTGAGCCTAATATAGGATCTTACGTGCAAAATTGCTGCCTTTTCAGTTTCTTGGTAGTGGTAGGAACCAGGTAGTGGGAATGTGGGCTCAGATGTAAAAGCCATTCACTTTTACCAGGGTGAACTATTGATTTGGGCTTGATGTGAGTGACAGAAATGTGGGTATTGATTTATGAATCGGAAACATTCAAGAGTCACTTTGGACATCTTGTGAACAACTCGCAGTCCTGACAGGCAGAAATCAAAAGCAGGCAGCTCTGTATTCTGAGAGCCTTTGGGGGCCCGAAAGGACTTCTTTCCCAAAACCATTTCGCCCCTGGCAGTCTGAAATGGCCCTGTTACTCATTTGGTTTAAAGGGTTGATGGTGATGATTAAGATAGAAATCATATAGAAAAAGAGTCTACATTAAGCCATGACTGGGGGAGTAGCAGGGAATGAGATGAAAGATGACAGCTGAAAGTCCAGCTCCTGGAGCTTGAATTCCATTTCTGTCACTTTCCCCCCAACCTTCGCCAACTTATATAACCTGTTTGGACCTTGGTGTTTCTATTCACAAGTATGTTGAATGAGGATTAAATGAGATAATGTAAATAAAGTGCCCAGCACAGTGCCAGAGCCAAATAAGGAGCTTGGAAAGGAGCAATTGCAATTATCATGACCAACATTAGTCACCAACACAGCTCCAATTAGTTTATTAGACTAGCCACCCCACCATCTAGCAGCGATCTAAGGGGATGGGCCAGAAGTTGAGTAAGCTTTGACAGGCGAGAAGGTACAGAGTGTTTAGACAAGGGCTCTGGCCAGAGTAGGCAGGTGCGGTCAGAGCATCTTACTTGGGTACCCAGAGGGCACCAAAGTCTGGTATCAGTGTTGGAAAAAAAAAAAAAAGATGTAGACAGTGGCACCGTAACAATGACTGGTCTTATGAAATAAACAGAAGGAATAAACTTGTATCTTCTCACATAGATGGATTATAGAACACCAATTCTGCCCCTTGCTGCTTCAGCAGGTCCTAATGCGACCCTACCAATAGGAACCATCAGATGTCTGGAGGACGGTGGCTATGAAATGGGATTGACAGCCTGAGAGCCTTATCTTGATGAGGAAACTGAAGCATAGAGAGATGGGGAAATCTGACCAAGATCTCACAGACAGAAGGAGATGGAGTTCGGAAATGATCTAAGGTAGTCTCTTGGTGCTATGAGGAGCAGGTCTCCAAATCCTCAGTCTTTTCTGAATCTGGAACTTTTCCTTGTTGTGGGTTAAACAGAAGTAAGAATTACAGTGCAGGAGAGTTCCATCTTCCAGAGTCAACAAACAGTCAGGATTATGTTGGTGAATTTCTTTATAAGTCTCCATGGCAGAAACTGAAATACGGAGTCTCTAATAAGTCCAGCATAGCCTATGTTCCCTCCATTATTGACAAAGATCCTTGTTAAAAGTGCATATGGTGCCAGTCCACTGTCTTTATGCTCCTTTTCTTGATTTCTCTGGCCAGTATTTGGAATCACAAACACTTTCCGCCAGCCCTGGCTTAGGCTTTGTGGCCCGGCATGACTTCCACTTTTCAAACCAGAAAAAACCCGCTCCCATCTAGTTGCACAAGCAGATCATGGGGACCGGTCCTGACTACTGTGGATTTCTGTTCCATGACCAGATTCCCACAGTCTCACTCTTCAAATTTGTATCTTGATGCACATTTCTAGGGAATGCTCTTACTAACCAGTAGGAAAAAGGCACTGGCACAGGAGCAGTACTGGGCCCTGGGATGTTCTTGGCTTTGAATAGCAAAAAATGGTAATCCAAACCTTCCCACTAATTGGATCATCTGCCTCTCCATGCAAATCTACAAGAAATGAATGGAATTTTGTTGGGAAGAGGGGAGTTTTTGCATTGGAAACTGATGAAAAGACAGCTCCATTGGGTGCCCAGGATATGTACTATTTATCTGAGCAGCTGCTGAAATACCTGGATAATTTTAGAATCAAGTGTGTGGTTAATGGAGGAGGAGAAAGCATTCCATCTGAACTGCTTCTGTATTGCCAATTATGTTAAAAAATTTTCTGAATTAAGATTACTGGCCAAGTAAAACAGAAACTCTTAACACTGTGAAGATAAAACCCCAAACAACACTCAGTTAATGCTAGATTAAGTATCTCTTTGTGAGAAATCACTATTACATTCTTTGCAAGCTGTTTAAAATTCTTTGGAGTTCCAAGCTAGAACAAGTGATTCCAAACATAGACATCCCTTCTCCCACCCACAAAAAAAAAAAAAAAAAAAAAAAAAAAAAAGATGGGAGGGAGGGAGTACAAAGAAATGATCCATATAGAGGTAAATTTTACAAGTAGAAAAAGGGATTGAAGATAGCACAGAAATTAACTTTAAATATTGTTTCAAGTTCTGGGCAGTTCAGAGACAACGATATTTCCCTCTCTCCCTCTCTCCCCCCCTCCCTCCCTCCCCCCCCTCCACTCAAATATTATTGCAAATGTGAACAGTGTAGGTAAGTCAGAGAGACTCTAGGAACAAGATTATTCAGGACATTTCGGAAGGAAACAGACCCCACATTAGGCTTTCAGCCTTCTACAGATCACTTCTACCTGAAGGTTACAGATAAAAACATTTTTGGTAGATTTTTTTTTTAATTGAAGTATATACGTTGCAAACAGTAAAATGAACCGATTTTTAAGTGCACAGTTCAGTGAATTTTGACCTGTGTACATACCAGTGTAACCACCCCCACAAGCCAGATATTCCCACAACCCTAGAAAGTCTCCTGTCCCTGCCTGGCAGGGACACAAGGGGAGGTGCACACTCTTCTCATTTCTCTCACCATAGATTAATTTTCCCTGCTCTAGAACCTGGCAAAATTGGAACTTTACAGTATGTACTTGTCTATGTTTGGCTTCTTTCACTTGGCATAATGTTGTTGAGATTTGTCTGTGTTATTTAACCCTTCCAGCCTTACCCTGTTGTCGACAGCCCTGTCTCCACTTTACAGATGGGTAGACTGAGACTCAGAAAATGTAGCGATTTGTGGCAAGTGCGCTTAGCTGCGCCGGGGCCACAATTTAGTTCCTGGGCATGCCCCGTCTAATGGTAAAGACACTGAGTTTTAAAATCCCGTCTCCGTCTTACCCCCTTCCCCCAGGGAAGAGAAAAAGTGAAACCACCAGCGATTGCTCAGGATTCTAGCAAAGAGGCCTCTCCACCTTAAAAAGGCTTGTACTGAGGAAACGTTTTAAAATATAAAATATAGGTTGAAATAAACTTT